GAAGTCACGGAGCCCGCATCCACTGGATCTTATCTGTGATTGTTGTTTGTGCTTCCTGCTTCTTCCTTTCCGCTGAGCACTTGCCGTTTTCCATCATGTGTCATTTTTCAATAACAATTTCCATCAGTTGTCAGGAGTTTCCGTAAATTCTCACTACTTCAGCCTTTCTGAATATTTTTTGTGACTGCTCATCGATTTCATGTTTATCAGCAATTCTCCGTCGTCTCTTGGCATAGTTTCCATGTTCTTGCTCGTTTTCTTAGTCTTCATCATCTTGCAGTAGTTTCCATCATCTTTCATCATCTTCACCCATGTTGTTGTTGCTGTTGTTTGCAAGTGGGGGGGGTGGGCTTCCCCCCCGCCCCCCCCTCATTCCCCTCCCTCCCCTTGCGGCCCCCCCGCGCCCCACCAATCCAGGATGGTTCTGCAGATCATTTTGTTTCATGTTGTTTGCAAATCGGGGGGGTCTGCGCCCTCCCTCCCCAGCTCCTCCCCCCAACCCCTCCGCCTGTTTTTCAAGACCGTTCATGCTTGACCACTGTTCGTCATTTTTAGATAAGTTCATAATTTTTCTTGCAGTTTAATCATTGCTCTTGATTTTTTATGTTGTTGACACGTGTCACAGTATTTTATCATATGCATCATGTTCCATCATATTCCATCATATTTCCGCACTTGATTTGCCAGAATTACTCAACATTGTTCATAGATCTTCAAGAATCCGCATGATGTTTCATCATGTTGCTTATCATGATTTTTCATCATTTTCATCATTTTTTATCACAGTTCATCATGTTTCATCCTGTTTCGTCATGTCATGTTTCAGCATTTCGCGCCATTTTTCATCAGATTATCATCATATTCCATCATTTTATCAAGTTGCATCATGTTTCATCATGTTTCAGACAGTTTCATCATGTCTCAAAATTCCTCCTCGTTTTCCATCACATTGTCATCATTTTCCATCATGTTGATGATGTTCATCATTTTCTTGATTTTCCATCATGTTTCATCAAGTTTCATGATTTTCCATCATGTTTCATCAAGTTTCATGATTCTCCATCAAACCTCATGATTTTTCACATTTCTTGAGATGTCATGCTTTTTCATCATTTTCAGCGTAACATGGATCTCTCGCCTGAGACTTTCTAAGAAACCAATACAACAACAAAAAAACAAAGGACGAATCACAAGTTGATTTTACGTCCACCGAGAAATTGGTATGAAGATGGCTGCTGCCCAGTACAAACCAGACACTTCAACAAGCTTTCGCTGCGAGCTCAAGGTTTTTTTGCCCGCCTTGCGTACAAGCCTTAGGATTGCACGCGGGCACATGTTGGATATTCTTCCTTTTCGTCGGAGTGAACTTAGGCGGCAATGCAGGAGGCCATGCAAGTGGAGTTCATCGACAGTGCCATGGATGCGACTGCACTCTGGCTCAAAGATGTTGCTCAAAAGCGTGCAAAGAGAGAGCAGCTGCTGAGCTTCCAGGTCCCAAACATGATGCAGATGGGCCCGTGGTTGCCTCAGACTTGCACACCTTTGCAGACGAGCGCCGCGGTCAAGGGACTGACCGTGACCGCTTGACCAGGCAAGCGAGCTGATCGGTGAATGTGGTAATGGAATATGCAAATCAACTTTGCGCAAGCATTTAGAGGCAACACGATGCCAAGATGATACGACTAGATTACAGTCCTACATAATTGAGTAATGACATGTGACACAAAATGCAAACAGTCTAAGCAACGCGTATGCCACGATTGATTATGTTGACAATCAGCTTGTACCAAGTGGTGGGAAAACCCAACAAGGTGTGGATGACAGTTCAGCACCAGTTAGATCAAAAGATTTAGTATCATTGTTAGACACACATACTCCCAAGATACAAGCAAAAGCAACAGGTAGACCAACCTAAGATGCCAGGCAGCTACACAAGTTTTCGGTGTTAGTTCATGAACGCATCTATTCAATACTGATTACCGAACTACAACACAACTCAGTTCAAATTTTGTTACACCCTCAGCATCTACACCCGCAGCCTTGACAACTAGCCACAGCACCAAAACAGAAACTGGTACGTGCCCGGCAATTTTTACACATCAACAGCGGCAGGCACAAGATTTTTCAGTCACTTTTACATGAGTACGAAAATCAACACATCTTTAGAAGTTGATACATTAATGTCAGGAGCAGCAGGAAACAGATAGGCGGTTCCGCAAGTTGACAATTCTTATTCAAAGGAAGATAAGGCAACACTCGTGGATAAAATCAGGTATACACCAGTCATTGACATGTCAGCACCTACACTTCTTCACTTGGTATGAACATCAAAAAGCTTACTACTAAATCTTGAACCCCTATCAGGAGTTCTACCTAGTCATCTGTTCAGAGCAGAAATGAGCAGAACCAGGTAGAGATGTAGCAGTGTTTAGATATCTAACTTTGAAAGGTCAAAAAATCAAGCGCAATGCTACACATGATGACAGCGTAGCAAATCCGGAATTAAGCCTGACGATGATGCATGGTAAGCAAAAATAGGTTTAGTCCCCACTGTTGGAACAGATATAGTTGGATCAAGCGGAGACACTACTTATACATTGAGAGTTCAAGACAATTGTAATTGATCGCTAGCGAAAGATCGCCTCGGCAAGGGTAGAGGAGTGGCCCATGGCCGCGACCCGCACCGAGCAAGTTCCCCCCCCAACGGAATACGGGGAGGGCAAACTAATTCTCCTAGTCTCCGAACCTGGATCTAAACGCCGCAGGCCTCCGCCCTCCGCGGCTTAAGCAACCTGGGAATTTTTGAACGACATTTTGGACATGTATTGAACAAGCATGTGCGCCACGCAACGGTCAGACAAGGCTCTTGGCCCTTGACTGGAAAAAACTTTTGACAGCATTAATGTCGACAGCCTCCTTGATGCACTACGTCGTTTTGGTGTCCCAGATTTCTGCCTGCAAATGATTTCAGGCATGATGCGACAACGCCGCTTTTCAGTCACTGATCAAGGGGTCAGTTCCGATGTTAAAGCTCAAATGTCCGGCATTTCCCAGGGATGCACTCTCAGCCCTTTGCTATTCATTATGACGATGACCGTGTTGATGCATGATGCGGTGTCAAACTTGGATGATGCTGCGACTCAGGCTGCTTACCTTGAAGGTGATCTTGCTGATATTGCGTAAGCATTTCACACACTCCTTATCGGAACCTCCGATTGCCACTTACAACAATTCCTGACTAGAGTCGCAGATGCTGGGAGGCTGTATGGAATGGAACTTCGCTGGGACAAGTTTCAACTGCTCGAAGTGCGCTGTCGTGCATCCATATACAATCCTGCGGGTGAGCGGACTGTCCCCAAATCAGGCATTGATTATCTTGGATCCGTACTCAGCTTTGACGGTCTTCCAGGGTTCGAACTTGGACGAAGAATTGGCATGGCCAAAGCCGATTTCCTTCAATTGCAAAAGGTCTGGAAACACTCATCGCTGCATTGGACCCGAAAGGTTCGAATTTACAAAGCCTTCATTGAAACAAAACTGATTTACGGCTTGAGCTGTTTATGCTTTTCTGCTGCAGATTGCCGTGGCTTGGATGGCTTCCAGAACCGCTGTTTGCGAGTATTCTTGGTATACGTCCGGCTTTCGTTTCGCGAGTGTCTAATGCAAATGTGTTACAAAGGAGCTCTTGCCATGGCGCCACTCAAATTCTATGTCAACGGCAATTACTGCTCTTTGGGAAAGCGTTGCGATCTCCACACGACCATCCTATGCACGTCTCATCTTTCATCCCTGGAAGCCTGGAGCTAGCCACAAGCAGATACGTCAGAAGGGTAGGACGACCTAGACGTGAATGGATTACAAATGTTAGGAACAGAGCATTTCAATTCGTGAACGGTCACCGCGAGCTAACCAGACTTGTACAGAATCCCCATGTTTGGCATGACACGATTTACAGTCTCTTTGTCCACGCGCCGCCTGGCGTATGACTGACTAACTGACTGACTGACTGACTGACTGACGGACGGACGGACGGACGGACTGACTGACTGACTAGGTGAAAGGCAGAATATTTTTCTACTCCAAAGCAGCAGACCAGTATGATTCATGATATCTCATGCATGATTGCAAGTGGAAATGCGTCACACATCACACCCCGCCTATCATTTGACCACTTGAACCACTTCAACTGCTGCAAAACTTGCCACATGGCCTAATTTTTAGGGTTCGGAGAGTGGTCCTTGTAGGGGGATGTGAAGTGGTTAAAGGACATCTGATAAGTGCGCTTCAAATGAGCGAAGCGGTAGCATGATGTTGCTGCGACAGTGAAGCACCGCTGAGGATGAACAGCGCTTTCCTGACGGCCCCGGCTACAGGTGCCGTTCGACCGTTCGCACAAGAAGCATCGGGACTGCGGGCTATGCGGGCTGGTGGGGACTTGCCAGGCCAGCTTGCTGCAGGACAGCGGAGGCAACAAAGCTCGTGCTGCTAGTGCCGCAGCGTATGAGCCTAGACTCGCAAATGCAGCGGACAAAAAGAGCACTAGGCTTTGGGCATAGTGTAGCTATAGGCTTTTGTGATCCTGGGCTGGAAACTGCAGCTTGCATGGCTGCTGCCAGGACTGCCTTTCTTGGTCAAACGCAGTGTCTGGATTCAGTCCTTGCATCGAAAGCTCGTCCGTGTCAGCCAGGCTCGCGAAAAGTCTGCAGCTCAGGATGTACATCACATTCAACGGATGTAAGGCCAACCTGAGCTCAGTCAGAGCGGCATCGACGCGCCCTTGCAAGAAGGATGCTTTCGGAATCTCCGTAAGATCACCCCCGGGGCCAGGGGACCACTCTCGGGTGCAACCTATGGGTCTGCAATAGAAAGACTCTCAGGCGAAACCGGTACGGTGAGGTCTCGGTTGCAGTGCCTTGGTCTGTTGGAGGGCATTCATGTGGGACAATCCAGAAGCCAGCTGCATCCAGCTGCAGTGTCGGCTACCCTGACCATAAGGCTGCCTTGTCGAGAGCAGATGGCCAGGGGCTGAGCTGCGTTTTTGTTTGGCAGGCAAGGTTGTGTCCACAGCCGACTGGTAAATGGCAGCTACAGTAGCTAGCACGTCGAAGCATGTTTACAGGTCCTCTCTACACCGAGCACAAACAGATAGATCCACAGCTTGGCAGACCAAATCAAGAGGAGCAGGGTGCTGTGAGTAGGAAGGCTTCCATTTACTGTTGGTGCTACTTTTTGAACTCTGTAGCGTAGAAAAACGATGGCCCCCCTCTTGTGTGGAGCGAAGCTACTGTGCACAACGGACCATTGAGTGCTGTGCTGAGATACTGACATGTCACGGGCCTGGTAGCTTGAACAGCAATGCGGGTGCACCGTCTGCTATCAGTACAAGCTTCCAGTGGTTTCTTGCTGGCAGCGGAGCTGGAGCAAGCAGACACGTGGTAGGACGAGTCTACTGAGGAAGAGCAGGAGTACGCCTGGCTTTTTGGAAATGCTTGAAGAAGGGCCGCCAGATCATACGTTTCAACCCAGCTCATGAGAGGCTTTCAGGAGATCTGCAGCCAGGCTACATGTGTGCCGAGGCCGCATCCTTGGACAGAAGTCATATGGACGATTTGCACGTAGACTGTGTCTTGGATCCACGGCATGCTGGATTTCTATTCGGACCACTCTTTGCAGGAGCAGTCTGAGAGTCGCTGGCGCGAGGAGGCACGCTGCAATGCTGTGGCCAGCATCCTTGCATGCGCAACGAGCAAATCAGAGGTGTACAATGGTGTACATGTTGTGCGGAAATACCATGTGGATGTCTCGGCGTGAAAGGAGATGGCCATTCTGTTGTTGGCATCTTACAAACCCCAGTCCCCAGATTTTTTGCACAAACGGGTCCCAAGACTGGTGAAGCTATCGTCGGACCAAGCTCATGTGCTTTCCGAGCTAGAAGGGATTGTGGTAACCTGCTTGTGACAAAAGCTAGAAACTACCCTGGTAGGAAGCGTAGTCTTGCTTTCCTCCAAGTCTGTCGCCCTCTTCACATGGAACTAGAAGCTTGGAACCGGGATCTGAAGCACGATTTGGTCTGGAGGACAACTCTGGAGACACTGTTGCTAAGCCCTTGTTGGCCGCGTGTTTGGATTCCGGGCAAACAGCCAGCAAAATCTAGATCTGCCCGACCAAAGGGTGTCTGCCAGACCCAAAGAGCTGCCGCCCCATCAGCTTTCTAAGCACAGCATTCAAAGTACTCACGGTTAGAGCGAGGTCTGGACCCACAAGAATGGGCCGTTTGGCTTCAGGGGGCTTGAAGGTCTGCCTCTAGCACGAGGCTGAGGCTGGCATACAGCAAGCCTGCCTTTTTCCTTTGCAGTGTTTCAGCCAGTCCTGCCCCATTAATGAACTTGCTTTCGCAGATGACACAGCGCCAACAGCAAGCACGGAGAAGCGTAGGACGCAGATCCTAGAGGTCACGGCTCGCGGCAACTTCTCCTTGTACAGGGACAAGTGCGTGCTACACAGAACCCGCACCTCACGCAACCTCAGCTACGTCCACTTCAAGGACAGCACGAAAGTGAAGGATATGCACGGCGCCCCGTGCTTTGGAGTGATCCTCCAAGCAACGGCGCGACACGCAAAGCAGTCATGATGTGGCTTGCCAAAACCTGTAAACGTGTCATCGCTTTGTTTGCCCATTTCTTGCCTGGAAAACATGGACTTAAAATTGAAGTGGAGACTAAGGATTTGCATCGTGGCGTTAAAAGCCGTACTGTTATTAACTTCTATACCTATTCTTGACATTATCATGCTTATTATTGTTATCATTGCCTTCAAGTAGGGCAGGATCCACATCCTTCGCGCCAAGATGAACAGTTGATTGGCAGGAACACTTTTGAGGATGCTGATGGCAAGGCTTTATCCTCATCATGTCCACCCTTGCCAGATGCTGGCTGATGTGCTAGAGAGCTACAGGTAGAAGCAAACGACGCCTCTGGGCAACTCAAACCCCATGAAGAAGCTAAGCCCCGCAAGATGGCCATCAGGGCGGGAAGGCTTTGAACCCGGGCAGCCGGAATCTACCCCGACGCACCAGGGCACTCCCTAGGAGAACATCGAGAACCCTCATACTGAGTGCCACACGTGTCGCGTTGTTTGCTCACATTGCCACTTCTGAAGGCACGTGAAAGCTTTTGCACCTCTCACATGGCAGTATTCTTGGCTGAAAAAACCCAAACTGAGGGTTTCAATGTCAAAAGTTAGACCATATGTGCTGGCTTTGAATCTGGTGCTGATGATCTCCCACTGGCACCCTTCACATGCGCAGCCTGGCAAGACTTATTCTCGACGCAGTGCACAAGCACCAACTGCTACAACACTAGGCACTTTCAAAGGTCTTTGGATGTTGGCGCTTCAGGAGACTTGGCAAACTTGGGACCAAGATCATCACAATCAATGGTGGAGCCGGGCCGCAGTGCCACCCTTGGTGGTTTGCGAATGGCATTGTGATTGCGAAGCTGTTTATGAAACATCACGGCAGAGTTAATGCACTCATGCGGTTAACCGTCGGGTCAGTTGCATCTGTCAAGCCACAAAGAGTTGAGCTGAACAGCCAAAAAAGTGCAAGGATGGTGATGACGCCCGTGCAGAGGCAGGCCTGTTGTGCTTAAAACCTTTAACAGTGTTAGAGCACTGCAAGCAAGCCCAGTTGTGATCCTGCGTATCTTTGCCATTGTGCGCATGCAGGAGGCCTGGAAGGAGAGACAGGAGAGGCAGCTATGGGAAAGGCCACAATACACACGCCCCAAGACTGCCTGCTCCTCGGGAGAAGATGCTAGAAGTTGTTTCTTGTGCGAAACCTGGGCTTCAGGAAGCGAAAGTGGACTTTTCCCATCTTTTGAATCGACATTTGGATCAGAAGCCGCCCCAGGAGAGTCATGCATATGAGATTGGGTATGCGTCGCTCCAAACCCGTAGAACACATGAAGGTGTTCTATGCAGATTTCCAGCTGGCTGTGAATGCAAGTCGAGGATGCTGTCTCTTCGGCAACTGCTTCTCGGCAAGCTCGGCCTGATCGCGATGCACTGCAAGAGCAGCAGCAAGGTGAAGACGAGGCTGCTCCTATTGCAGTGAACACCTGTGTATGCATGATCTTGCAATCATAGGCTTTGGGCTGTTGGCATCATGCCGCATTTGCTTGTCGGTTTGTAGCTGTTGCACCTACTTAGCATCTCACTACTTGGCTTTATCCGTGTTTGCATTCTTGTTGGAGTTTTGTAGTTGTTTGCCTTTCTGGTTGCATTCGGGTTTCACAGGTTGAAATTCTGCGGGTTTGTGCGATAGCACACGCGTGTGCGTTGCAACATGGAGCAAATGGGAGGCGTGCACGTGGTGCATATCGTTTGATGCCGGACGGCTCCTCGTAGGGAGCAACACTGGCAGCCCGAGGGCCAAGCCCGCTAGAGGCTACAGCAAACAGTGCGCAAGTAACTGTGTGCAGAGAGTGGTGAAGGTTTACTGGCACTAACGTTGCAGCTACGCCTAGGTTGCAGTTCCCCACCTTTATGCACCCCAAACTCTAGAGCCGAAGGTTTAGGCGCGTTAACCCAGTCTACAACTCAATCTTCAACTTCGAGCAAGAATGGAAAGCATAGTGCAAGCGCCAGCTTCAGCACAAAAACTTCAGGCAGCACGCATGCCCAGGTGAACAATCATAGGTTGCGGCGAGCACGAGACTTTGGCTTGGGAGCTGTTCCGGAAGTAAAAATAGTTTGACAGTAATCAGTTGGCTAGCCGAGCACATTCTTACACTTTTTCCAGGGTGCCATGACCGGTAGCACGGATGTAGACTCGCAGATCTGCGAGATCCCAAGTGTTTCTTTTTCCAACGAGACGATACGTTTCCATGCAAGCAGCTGCAAGCCTGTCAGGCCACGCTGACAGACGGGACGACGCTGGAAGTTCGGCACAAATTCAATGGCAGAGAGCACCTTGGCAAGTCTGGCACTGCCATGTGAAGTCTGCCAGCTTGTCCATGGGGCAGGTACGGAGAGAATTATCTGGTCCTCCAAAAGGGCGACCTGATTATCTTCCTGAAAGAGGCGCGCAAAATGGACGCGGAGTCTTGTACCTGGAGCACTTGATCCAAGCAGTCTTGTTCGCTCATGAATGTTCATGACTGAAATAGCTGCTTCTCTGCATGTAGTCGACTGCCGTGCAGATATCGAGAGAGATTTTTGCAGGAGCAAGGCTGGGCCTTCTGTCGGCGAGCAGGGCACTCTGTGCAGTGCAGCAGATCCTCCTATCGAGCTATGCAGATCGAGCTGTTCAGGTAGCAGAGGGCGAAGGTCCTGAGGTGGGATGGTCAGCAACTCAGTCAGGAACATAGAGTTTCACCATGAGAATTACGCTATCCTCGTCGCACGGCGCGTCAAGCATCCACAGCTGCGAATGCCAGTGACTTTTTGGCCCACCCTTCATCCTTGAGGCAACCGTCCCGCAATCTGACTCTGTCCGTGTTGCTGCAGGATGAGGGTTCTGCGGAGCTTGATCCTTGTGCCCGCAGGTGCCCGCCGAACTTTGCAAAAAAACACGTTCCCAAATGAGGAAAAGTTGCAGTGTTCGAGCCGGGTTTCCTGGACATATCAGGAGATTCGCTGAGGGTTTTTTTGTCATGCCCAAGTCATTTCTTGACGCGCTTATACTTGGAGCAAGCAGCATCCTTGGCGTGCCACAAACTGGCCTGTGAGAATGGCAACTTTAGCTGACACACGAGCAAGAGATTTCATAAGGAAGGCAAGCTTGACAATGAGCGGGCTTCACTTCACACTGCGTTGCACTATGCAAGTGAACAACAGTCCTTATTGCCTCCGACTAAAGTCCCATGGAGCCTGCGGAAAGACATCCGGCGAGGCTGGCGGAGCACTCGATATCAATCATTTGTTCCGGTTTCAGCTTGGGCCTCAAGTTTGGCTGAAGCTTGAAATGGCAATTGACAGGTATGCGACTGAAATCCAAGGCGCTCCGGCCGGTCATGAGCTAAAATGGCTGCAGCTCTCTTCACTGTCGGAACCAACTGTAGCAACGAGAAGAGATGCGGAAGAGAGAAGCGGACTTCTTGACTTTCAAATCACTCCAGGAATGCTTCATCAGCTCGATCTTTTGAGGGACTTCACTTGTGCCTGTCCTCGAGGATGCGCTGTTCAATGGGTAGCTCAGGTGAGTCTCCTTACCTTCATCCAGCTCTTGGAGGCACATCCTTGCATTCTCACCTTTCAAAGGCGCAGGCAAAGGAGGCAGCTTTGGGAAAGCCAGTTTGTGCTGCTGTTGTTATCCTCGCGTCGAGTTGGCAGGTCTGTGCCTACGACTTGGCCTTCTACCATCATTACCCAGATGTGAGCCACCTACCTTATGAAACTTTCCTGTGAGTCCTGCATTAACTGCTGAAATGAAAACGGCTTCAATTGCACCTCTTGTGTTCTTGTTGCTGTGATTTTCCATGCCAAGAATGTTTCGATCTGCTTCCACTACGGACTCAGCTCGCAACTGTCTTTTTCTGTTGGGCGGGGGCCTTGGGAGACGGGGTCTCGAAGCGCTCTAAAACCTGGCTTTTCTTTGATTTGGTGGCAATGGAAGGCTCTGGTGGTAATGGAAAGCTGGCCAGCTAGAAGTCATCTGCAGGCTATGGCATCAGTAAGCTGGACTGTACCCCAAGAAATCCTCTCGCTGAGTGAGACTGACACTGTATGTCGCTGTAATCATTCAGCAGGCTTGAACGACTGAATGCACAATCGTACAGTGTTGTGAATAAAATGGGCTTTGGATTAGACTGATTTCCCCTCATTTCTCCAGGAACCGCCCGAACGAACAGCACTCAGGCCGCTCTCCTTCAAGGAAGTTGGCTATGCACGCGCAGTCCTCAGAGAACAGATGGGCACCAAGGTCTGATGCAAGCATTAGCTTAGGCTTTGTCGTGTGACAAGCATTCAGCATTAGTTGGTGAGTAGGAATCAACGTGCCTTACTCAAGGTTACAAATCTCCTATGAGATTTCATAAGCTTGTCACCCGCCCATTCTCTTGCATCTTCTGCCAAGTTTGCGTGTTCATGGCCTGCCTGCTTTGATTAGCGAACGAAGCCCGAACAAACTTTTGTCGTAGCGATCAATCCTTGAATGTGCATGGTGGCAAGGTTTTTGCCTTTAAGCTTCATGGCACGGAGCGCCTGAACTGGCATGGACCAGTGTCATTTTTTTGGTAATATGTGTAGTGCTGGTGCAAGGGGTTCATTCTGCACAGAGAGTCTTGGGCAAGCCCATTGGCCGCCAAGAAATTTCAAACGAGCTCGCTAATGGCGACACTTTCGTTTACGTCGGCAGCTAAGACTCCTGCTTACACGTGGCTGCTCTGGTTTCCACATTAACGATGGAAGCTGACAAGACCGTGGGTCATGTACTGTGACCGTCCTTTTTTCAACTCCACGCCTCTTGATTGTGATGCTGTATGCTGAAGCTGCGTCGTTAGCTCTTGCATTCAATCCAAGACTGCTGCTCTTTAATGAATTATGATTTTGGTGGGCCTGTGAGGTGGATGCGTCGCTGGCTGGAGAGGTGTCTCGTGATGACATTTGCACGGATATTAAGCCACGTAATTCACAGAACATGTGATGTGCTGCGTATCCCTCGGCATGCGGTTTCGCCAGAATTGCTCCACGTCATCACCGTCTCTGGTTGGCGCAGAGAGAGCTGGAGTCTTCCACATCTCTGGTGACATCAATGCTATGATGCATTTTCGCTTCTGAGGCCCCTCTGCTCCAAAGTGCATCCAACATGTTTGGATTGGTGGCCAGTGCCTCAACCATTTTTGCCCGACAGCGCATGTGAGAGCACATGGCAAAGACCCGCAGGCAACACAAACCAATTTACAAGGCCTCGTCCTCGTCGCATACCGTTCAGGCTGGTTCAGCGAGGTCTGGCAGAAAAGTAAGACCTGGCTGTTGCGCGCTTTGGCGCAGGCAGCTCACAGTCGAGTGTTCGAAGCCAAGACAGTAGCACTGATCTGTGACTCAGACATCAGCTCCGACTGCCCTGAGGACCTCCTGGACCAGACTATTTTAAGATTCAGCAACGAAGGCTTTGGCAGCGGTGGCCCCAATGAACAAGCCAGTGCCACGCATTCGGATCACCTGCAATTGCCAGGCTTCCCAGAATGTCTAGGGGAGCAAGGATCTTGGTCGTATTGGCTATGAATGCCATGGATCAATCACTTCCAAGTGCACGTGGTCGGACGTTGCAATGCTACTGCTGGTAGCATGCCCTCAGGATCATCGTCACTGGCGGGAGCCGCAGCCTTGTGCAGCCCTTACGACTGACAGTGTCCTTTCTTGGCAACTTTTGCTCCTTCGCCAAAAAAGCTCGCAGGTTGGGCATCTCGCACCTGGTTCGGGCAAGCAGGCAAACCGTTTTTCACAGTGCAGTGAGTACAGTCTCACCATTCATATCGGCGGCTCTGCGCATTGAGGCTCTGATTCCCTAGAAATGTTCATCGGCATCCCCATGGATAAGCGCAAAGATGTAAAACCAGGATCCGTTTTGCGAGGTGTCGCTGGCCTGCAAAGCCGTTGAGCCGGGACCGACACTGCTGTCGTTCAGCTGCGGCGAGGAGGCGTGACCAGGGGCTAGATGTGGCCCGTTGACGAGCCCGCGCTTGCGTATTTGCGTGTGCGAGCTGATAGGCTTTCGTTCTCGACCTTGCCAATGACGGACTGGCGTCGGTGATGTGTCCGGGATCCACGCTCCAGGCCAGGTCGGGATGATGTATGGATGGGCATAGAAACCAGAAATGACTGGTCCGAAGCCGGGCTAGGTTGGTGTGCAAGTATCTAAGCAGTCGTCGATACTCGCGTATGGCACTAACAAAAAAAACGCTGTGAGACATAGGAAGCACATCAAAACTCAAAGCGATAGGACCCCATAAAAGCGATCCACCGCAATGGAGGACTACACCATGACAGAGTGTCGGCTGAAGTCGCCAAGAGCGATACTTTTCCTTTATCCCACACCAAAGGATGCCAGAATCTCCAAAAGCATTAGGACTCCACCATGCAAAGTATGGCATAGAACAACACAAGGAGTTTTGATACATGCTCACATGCTTCTTCACAACCTCTCCCTGCCCTTAACCATTCTTGGCTAGAAGCTTCATCAAAGCCGCGGCGTGCGCGAAACAATCAACCCCAAGCCATCAGGCCACGGTGGCTTTATGGCCAAACGGGGCCCTATGATTTTTGGACCCAGATTTGTCTTTATGACAAAGCCCATGTGACAGTTCCTCTAAAGTGCCTGTGTGAACCGCCGGCAAGCTCCGGAGCACTGCTGGCCCTTCAGTCAATGTATCACCTGAGAAGTTTTCTCTCGCGCACGAAGTGTGCCACTCCGGTGTTCAATTTGGGGTAAGGGGGAGTGCAAGTTGTTCATTTCGGCAGGCAAGCAGTTTCCTTTTCCCAAAACAATGTTTGCCGGCACGACAAGTTTCACTTCGATGGCCAGGTATCGCTGGTGGGCCGCTTAGGGGTGAACGGCGCCGTCGCCTCAGGCATGACTGAGTCAACTGGCACAACGCTTGCATCTGACCAATTCCGGTCAGCTAGCAGCGAAGTTGACTCATCTGTTTCTTATTGTGAGCGGCTTTTGATGGCATTGCACGTCATATCAGTTTGTGCAGAAGATTTTGCCGGCTATCGCCACGCGAGTGCAACCTAGACCTTCGGCCCTTCCGTGCAGCTCGTGAGTGGCTCTCCATGCTCATGCGCAGAGCGCCCTTTCCTCGAAACTCGTTGCGATGGTCTTTCCAAATCAGAGCTGGGTTGGGCACAGGTTGCTTGCCTTCGTGTGCGGTGGCCTCGGCAGAAAAAGCCATCGCGAAGCCCTCAGCTCAGACCCTACAATGGCTAGCCATGCAACCCAAACGTGGTCCTAGGTCTCTGCTCTGCCGATGCTCTTGCTTCTGTGTAGAGTTGCTTGGTGAGAGAGATTGCTGCAGTTTTGGAATAGCTTCATCACTTAGCATTGAAGATTGAATTGTGTTGGACCAACGCAGACAATCTACTCACTTCACAGGAGAGCGGACAGCCATGCTCATCAGACGTCATGGTTACATTGATGTTTTATGGGTTTGCGGTTGATGGCTGGCTGCATCAGATTGGAAGGCAGCAAGCATGACAAGGTGAACCCAAAGTGGATCACTCGCACTCGCAGCAGTCTGAATACCAGCGCTGTGAAAACATTCAGGTTACAGATCGTCCCCAAGTGCATGGGTAGTGGAGGATTGTTGACGAGGGCCGATAGTCAACTGCAGCAAAGTTTCAGTAAGTCGTGAGAGCCCCGAGGGAGCTGGCAGAAACCTGCGTCCGTGGGGATTCAGGGCCTGCCTGCCCTGTAATCGGGCTGTGAACTAGTCCTCAGGCAGCTCCTGAAACTCAAGCCTTTCTTCTCGGTGGCTTCAGAGTTTGCTTCCGACAATGTCCTTCAATGTATTTTTACCCCAGTTCAAGCCAGTTTGTACGCTGCTGCGCCAACATACAGAAGAGGTCGATGGGGTGCTTACATGTTTTGAGGGCAAGCCTACTGAGTGTGTGGAAACGCCCTTTGCAATTGAAATTGATTTACGACATGGTGAGAGTACAGAATGCACAGATGAAAGCTGCCTGAAGCAGGTACAGTAGCAGCAAGTAATGACCCGCAAAACAGGCCTGGATGCCTCAATCATTCTGGCATGTGCAGCTGTACAAGAGCCACTGCTGCTCTGTGTCCAGAAAGGCAGTGAATCCAAATGATTTAGCTGCTGTAGCCCGGTTGCTCAACTTGCTGACATTCTTTTTTGGGCTCACACTTGCATGCCCCTAGCTGCCAGTAGTGATGTGACGGGAACCCGTGATGTCGCGTCCTATTCCGACGCTTGGCACACGTGCAACATTTTCAGTTCATGTTTCTTGTGCAACTTCATTAATTTGCCTGCCAAATGTGGTGTCATCCTAGCTTCCATCATGCTTCATCACTGCCAAGATTATCATCATTGGTTGATTGCAGGAAGCTGACTGACCAGAGCGTAAGCTCGACTAACGTCAAACAACCATGCCTTGAGGATCGATGTGGGTCCTCCGAGTCGAAATCAGGTGAATCAATTTGGTGGCAAGTAATCGTTGTTGGCTTGCAGTCTTGGGTGGGCTCGTAGCCGCCAAAAAATGGCTGGTGGCTTGTTCACTGACTGTGCTGCATCCAGCGCTGTAGGCGACTAGCAGACAACCACCAAAGTAAAGCACCTAGGCCAACCACCGGTACATTTGTGAGCTGCACGGTATGAAATCAAGTCCCCATTTGGAATCGGTTTGGTGGACATGGGCTAGGAACGTAACCCCCACGTAGGCGGGGCCGGGCACTTGCCTCGAGCACGTCGACTGCATGCACAAGAAGCGCTTAGCCTGACTGGACCAAGGATAGTGTACTGATAGTTGCATTCTGGGTGGTTGCCTCAACGAGATTCGCAAACAACATGAAACATGGACCTGCTTAACAGCCATGTTTGTGTCTCAGGCAAATATCCCGTTGTCGAGATGCCGTTTTCCAGGCCCACCTACAACCTTGAAGTGATGCTGCACAGCATTGGACAATTTCCAGAGCACCACGGAATTGCATAGTACCACGCCGGAATCTATTCAGCAGACATGGCAGAGCCGGAAGCATCATGTCTTTTTGAATTGAGTATGCTTCAACCTGTGCAGTTTGTTGGGTGATGATTGGAGCAATACGCAATCCACGGCCATCTATTTGGATGTTGTGTGGCGCTCAGAAGGTAGGATCCTGCGCCGTTTTGTCTGTCTCCCATGCCGCTTTGCTTGGCAAGGCCATGCTGTGTGTTATTGGGTGTTGCCTCTTCGTATACTGCTCCGACATATACAGGCCAGCCTCGCAGCTTGAGACGAAAACCCTTGGTTATTTTTCCTGCAAGGCTGTGCCCTGGTTGGGGCTCTGTGCGAAAATTTGATGGTGATGGGAATGAGGACCGCCCCAAGTGCTGATATTGCTGACTGCTGTTTGGGTGCTGTTTGTGCTTGGTTTGCCGTGTTTGAGGCGCAGCGAGCCAGAGAAAGCTTGCTGCAGAAAGAGTATTTTCAGCACCAGGCTGCAGCAGCGTTGCAGTTGCCACAGTTGACAAGAACGTGGCTGGCCAGCTGGGCCTTGTGTCAATTGCTTGGAGGCGGCGGCACTGGAAGGAAGTGCTGCTGCATCAAAGGTTTACGGTGCAATAGGCCTGGCACAGGTGTAGTTTCAAGCTCGTTCAGCCATCACTCATGCGTGACCGAGGGATGTTGGATCGGCATCATTGTAAAGATCTAATTCAAAATGCAAGCAAGTTTTCTGGATCTTCGGCTTGAATCACAATTATTTTAGGCCTGGCGACAGGGGCCGGCCCTGCCGCCTTCGTACTTTGATGGTTCTTCTTGGGCGTTTGACCCTCTGGCCAAAATGGTGCTTCTGTACGAGGGGCGCGCGCGCGCGCGCCTCATACAGGAACATCATCAGCACAATTGGGACCTCATTTTCGGCCATTTTCAGTTACACTAGAGAGAACAGGAGCTTCCAAACCTAAAACATCACAGGTAGCAATAACATAAGTTTTTTTGGTACATTTCTTTCAACCAGGAGCATTAGCATGGGCTTGGCTTTCACATGATGGCTGGGTGGGCAGGGGGGGCACCCCATAAAGCCATGACAAAACCAGCATAAAACCTTCAGAAACACCATAAATCCTGCAACCCATCCCCCCAAACATCAATATCCCCATGGCAAAGCCACCATAGAACTCGGTTCCAACATCCAAGATTCAGGAACCCCATCAGGCCTGGCCCAGTGGGCACAGGCAGCCTAGAAGCCTGGCAAAAAGAGAAACGGGACCCCAATGATGCCGATGATGCTGGCCAAGGGGGCCAGCATCATCAGCATCATTGGGGGTCCGTTTCTCCATTTTTGGCTTCCCATGCACCCAATGACCCCTGATGGAGTCTAGATTTTTCTCAGTCGTGCCCCAAGAGGGGCTTTGGGGCTAGTTTTCAAAACGGCCCGTGCCCATGATGCAGATTTTTGGGGTTTTGGGGACCCCCAGAATCCTTCAAAATCCCTCCGTGCCATGTGGCTTCGCTGTTGGAGCGCATGCGATTTTTGAAGCGGTTTTGGAATGGGGTCCAGAGGGGCAGGTCCGATGATGCACGGGCAGGCGGGGTCGGCGGCAGTGGCGCCACCTCCTGTAGAGCTAAAGCTCTAGACACGGGCTCCGCCTTGGACCACGGCGGCAGGGTTGGATGTAAGGGGCTGCGCCCAGGAACGGGCAACGCAGCAGCATGAAGAGGGAGCCGTGGAGCGGTCAGTGATTCAGTGCTCGACCTATTTTCTGAGGTTCCCTCCCGAAACACCCAAAAATGATCACATCTGGCCCAAACGGCCAAGGGGGCCAGCATCATCAGCATCATTGGGGGCTCGTTTCTCCAATTTGAGCTCGTCCGGTACCCCCTCCAACCTGCAAAAATTGGCGGGCCCAGAGAGGCCCGGGGTCTAGTTTTCAAAAACGTCCGTGCTGATGATGCTTTTTTGGGGTCCCGAAGGACCACAAATCCCTCAAAATCTTTCCGTGCCGCGGGGATTTGCTTCCGGAACGCATGTCAATTTGAACTTGGTTTGGGGGTGGGGTGCGGGCGTTGCCCGATTTTAGGCCTAGCGGCAGGGGCCGGCCCTGCCGCCTTCGTACTTTGATAGCTTTTCTTGGGCTTTTGACCATCCTGGTCCCAATTACGCCAAAATGGGTTCCCAATTGTGCTGATGATGCTTCTGTACGAGGCGCGGGCGCGCCTCGTACAGGAACATCAATTGCACAATTGGGACCCCATTTTGGCTTCATTGAGACCAGGAGGGGCCAAAAACACAAGGAAAGCTATCAATGATGACTTTAGACATGGTTCTCTGTGCAAGGTGACCATGTTCTAGCCCACGATTGCATTTTTTTGCAAATCAGCTGCCAGTAGCAGCCACGTTTCACGCATTGGACAAGCTTCGGAGCCACAAAAGTGCTGGACACATGGGCAAAACGCGCCCAAAAACCATGCAACATGCACAT